CTGGGGATTTAGCTCAGCGGCAAAAGCGCCTGCCTGGCAAGCGCAAGGTCGTGAGTTCGATTCCCGGTACCGGAGAAAAACCAAAAAAAAAAAAAAAAAAAAGAAAATGACTCAGAAAATCCAGGGTATCTTATGATATCACAGTGATACATCACTGCTCATCAATAATCATGATTGCTAAACAGATGCAATCCAGATATGATCTTTGGGAGGTCAATAAAACATCTATTCCTCTGTTTCCTCACATGCCCTTTCCTGGCATCTTAGCAGCTTCTGTGAATTCTTTAAGGTTACATTGACCACAGAGTTGATACTGCTGGAAGCAGTGTTTTGAATATGCAAGTTTAGCTCATTAATGAAGGAGTTCCTTGCAGGTCATTGCAAGGGGCCAGTGAAACTGAAATACTACTACAGTAATAAGATATAATTGAACCATGAACTTGCTCAACTCTGTGAAAATCATTGGAAATGCCAAAAATTCTTGACAGTGAAACTGACATTAATAGAGCCAGTGCTCTCTCTGCCTCCACAGTATATACCTTGGAGGATAGAAAGACATATAATGTATATAGTAAAAAAGCTTACTAGCCAGGAACGTAAGACAAAAGTTATACACATATGACAGTCAGAGTCATGGACAGTGATAGTTGTTCGGTTTCCTGTGGTTTGGAAGTATATATATATATATAAAACCCTTGAGAAAATAGGTGAATCCCATTTGATAGGAAACATTTCAACACATCAAAAAGTTTCAAAGGTAATATCACTTCTAAAGGGTTTGTTTATATCTGAGAGTTGTATTACTATTTTTGTGTGTGTGTTATTATTATTTTGGTTTTTTGAGACAGAATCTTGTTATATAGTACAGGCTGGTCTCAAACTTGTAGTGATCCTTCTGCCTCAGCCTCCTAAGTGCTGAGGTTACAGGTGTGTGCAACCATGCCTGGCGGTATATCTAAAAATTTATTTAACTCCACTTAAATCATTTTCTTATCTCCTGAGGAACTATTGATAACAAATAGTCCTTGGAAGGGGGCCCAATAAAGAGTGCTCTGGTCAATTTTTCTGGCCTTCTGGCACCATTGTTCTTCTTGTATCATATGTGATCAATAGGTCTTATAAGACCGTGCTCCAAATCACTCCCATCTGCATCAAAATAAGGAAACCATACATTTTAGCCAGGTTGCTTTTTTTTTTTTCTCAACCTGCAAAAATATGTCAGATAATTTATTTTTCCCCAATATCAGATATAGTAGAAGTAATACATATTTTGAAGATATTTGTCTTTTCATGGATGTTGTGTTTATTTGCACAATATGCTTACTGAATGTGCCTAAAAAACAACAGGCTATAGAAAATGGGCTAACACCCCAGTTATGTTCCTGCTACTAGGTTGTTAAATGAATTGATTGCTCAATGAGGAATCATATATAACATGTACATTACAATATTTAGAACAAAGAGATGGTCAAAGGAAATTCCTACTTTGTGGCTTTACTGTTATATGTTGCCATAACTCTTACATGTAGTATAGTAATGTATAATAGAACTGTTGTAGCTCTGGCTGGCCTTAAACTCAAGGCAGTCCTTCTGCCTCAGCCTCCCCCAGTGCTAGGATTACAGGAAGGTGCCACTGTGTCAGGCTTAGTGTGGTACTTTAAAAAAAAAAAAAAAACTAAAGGACTCTTGTCCTTTTTAGTTATACATTAAAAAAAATTGAGAAATCCTGATGATACCATGTTTTTCAAAGAATTTATGGATTATTGAATAAAACAAATTAACTGTAGAGTTGCTGTCTTGTTATTTACTCATGAAATCCTTATAAAGTTCAGAGAAAGTGTCAAAATGAATCCTTTTAAATTAACAGACTACATTTTATTGTACAAAAATTAGGTAGAAATTTGTAGAAAAATAGAACAGCAAATACTTCCCAGAAGCTGTGTCTCCCACCCGCAGCCACCTCCAGCATCCTCTGTTAGCATCTACATTGGTGCCCTACATTTGTGTCAGCTGCTGAACCAGTATTGATTTATTATTGTTAACTGGTTTCCACTAGAACTTGTTCACTATGTTGTACTTTCCTGTAGATTTTGCTAAATATGTCATGTATCCATCATCGCAGTATTCTACTGAATTGTTTCACTGCCTTAAACTGCCTGCGTGCCATTAGATCATCCTCCAACCCATGCCAACAACTGACCTTTTATCCTTTTTACAGAGTTGAATAGGAATGGTGAGAAAAAGTATCCTTGTGGTGGTGTTGATCTGAAAGGCAAAGCATCCAGTTTCTTACCAATTAGTATGTTAACTGTAGGTTCTTTTATACATGTTCTTCCTCAAGAAGTTCCCATTTACTCCTACTTTCCTGAGAAATTTTATCATGAATGGTGTTAGATTTTATCAGATTGTTTTTCTGTATTTGTTGATGTGATCATGTGATTTTTTTTTTAAACAGTGTTTTGATTGGATAGATTGAACTTAGATTTTTGAACATTGAACTAGTTTTAACTACCTGGAATAAATCCTACTTAGTTATGGTATGTAATTCTTTTCTTACATCATGGAATCTGATTTTCTGATACAGTATTTTGTTGATAATATTTGCATCTTTGTTCCTGGAAGATATTGTTCTCATTTTATTTGTAATGTCTTTGTCATGTCTTAGTGTTTGTGTAATGTTGGCTTCATAGGATGAATTAGAAAGTGTTTTCTCTGTTTCTGTTAATTGGAACAGATAATGGAGAATTGACATAATTGCTTCCTTAAATATTTGCTAGTGTTCACCTGTCAAACCATGAGGGCCTAGTGCTTTCTGTTGTGGAAGTTTATTACTGATTCAGTTTTAAACATAAGTATAGGCATATTCTATATGTTTCGCCTTGTCTGAATTTTGATAGCTTGTGTCTTTTAAAGAATTGGTCCACTTTGTACAGCTTATCAAATATTTAGGCATAAAGTTGTTCAGAGGAGTCTTTTATTCTTGGAAATTATTAATATCCAACGTATCAGTAGAGGTTTGTACATTCTTTCATGTGTGATACTAGATATTGTGTTCTCTGTCACTTTTTTTTTTCTTGGAACCAGGGTAGAATTTTATAAACATTGTCTTTTGAAAGAACTAGCTTTTGAGTTCACTAATTTTTCTGTGTTGATTACATATTTTCAGTTTCACTGAATATGACTTTCACTGAATTTTAAGGATCATTATTCCTATTTTCCATGAAGTGTAAGCTTAGAGTATTGATTGTAAATCTTTCTAATATGTGCAATCAGTGCTATTACTCTCTAAGACTTGTTTTTGCTGCATCCACAAGTTTTGATAGGTTGGATTTTCCTTTTCATTTAGTCATGTGCTTGCTAATGATTTTTTAATGATGAACTGACAGTGATCCTGTGAGATTG